GGATCGAACGTCAGTTCTGAATCTTAACCTCACTCTTTAGTAAACTTAAATTCAAAGTTCCACAACGATACCTGCAGTGTTCTCACTACAGTGAATTTTTAAGTGTCACCAAGTCATTAGAAAAATGGAACTCAACCGAGAACATTTTCGCGCCATAATTTATTACAACTTTCAGAGACAATTATACCAACAAGAATGCCTTGCTGAGTTACTGTCTGGTTTCGGCAGTCGACAATTTCCCGTTGGTATGGAGAATTCAAACGTGTACGGGTGAGTCTTAGCGACGATCCCAGGGTGGGTGCACCAAAAACGCAGTCACCCCGGAAAACGTCGATGCTGTGCGCAAACTCATCATTGAAGATAGACATGTGACATATCGCGAGATTGAGGCGTCCTTGAAGATCTCAAAGACCTCAATTCAAAAAATTTTACATGAAAAATTAGGAGTAAGAAATTACTTTTTCGTTGGATACCCCACCTGTTGACTGAAGAGCAGAAAGCAGCCAGGGTTAATTGGTGTCAAAAAACGCTTGACTGTTTCAATTCCGGAAAGTCAAAAAATGTGTACAGCATTGTTAGTGGTGATGAATCGCGGATTTACTGTTATGAACCAGAAAATAAACGACCGTCGGCTGCTTGGGTGTTCTAAGGTGCAGAAAAGTCAACAAAAGTCATCCGTTCTCGAAGTGTTTCGAAAAAGATGGTCGCGACATTTGTGTCAAAAGCGGGTCATATTGCAAAAATTCCTCTTAATGAGCAAAGAACTGTTACTGCGGATTAGTATACCTTCATTTGTTTGCCAAAATTCATCACCGAGCTTCGAAAAATCAACTCCGAAAGAAGAATCATCTTCCACCAAGACACCAAGACAATGTAAGCTCGCACACAGCCCAAAAAACAAGGCAGTATTTAACGGAAGAAAACGTAGAATTATTGGACCATCCTCCATATAGTCCCGATCTAAGTCCTAACGATTTCTTTGCTTTCCCGAAAATTAAAAACAGACTGCGTGGTCAAAGGTTCCAGTCACCAGAAGAAGCAGTTGACGCATTCAAAAATGCCGTTTTGGATCTGCCAGCAAACGAGTGGAATAAGTGCTTCGAAAATTGGTTCGAGCGCATGCAGATGTGTATTAATCTTCGTGGAGAATACTTCGAAAGACAATAAAATCATTTAAAACTACCTGCCGTGTTGTTTTATTTCCATATTTTCAAAACTTAAAAGACATCCCATCGCATTGTAATCGAGAAAATGTTCGAAAACGGCATACTTTTTGTTATTTCTTAAAATAGGGACAGAAAAAATAAAAACGATTTGGCCAAATTTTAGTTGTTCTCAAATACCTCGTAAGCCGTGAGATTTTTCCAAGTTTCTCAACGGCATGTAAATACGCCCCACAGAACGCAGCTTTTTCCTAATTTATTAATTTTGGTCAGAAAAATATAGAGTTCCATCAGCATGAAATCCACAGGATAAGTTTCAGATGTTACATTAGGAAATTACGAGATTCCTAATTCCAAGAACCTGTTTACAGCTTACAGGGACATGTAATCGGACCAAAAATTCATTACGTGGTGCAGCATGCCTCTTGCCTTATTCATAAAGTTGTCTCGATGTAGGCCATTGAAAATAAGTGCATGTGTAGGAATATAATTCGCTTGCATCGAAACCAACCAAGAAGGCAATGGCGACACTGCTCGGCCACTTTCTCATTTTGTGTCTGGCTCGCTAAATATATCTGTACGTGTTACGAGATGACAAGAACATGTGATCTGTGTAGGCGGTGCACATGGACAATTTCATTGCTCTTAAGTGGATAGGCAATTATTGGGTGACATGCAACAGATCAAACAAATGTCCTTTTCAAAAAATGGATTCAAGTGGATTAACTTGGTACTCTGACCCCTACGTTTTAATGTATAAAAATATGTATGGTATTTATTTTCAGGTGTAGGCCTGACCCTCTAGAAGAAAAAGTTGTAAGCTCTAGGCTCTAGTATGAAGTTTTTCATGTAATAGTTTTTTTGTATGTCTTCGAAAAGAAGTTCTATTGAATAAAGTTGTATTTTTTTAAATGCAACACCCCGTATATTTTCAGGTAAAATTATGGTCCCTTTTTTTGATTCAAAATATATATGGTTTATTTATTAATGTTCACCACCAACAGGTCATCCAATTATTGGAGGAAGAACAGAAGTCTAAGTACATACTACATACAGCGTAATTTTTTTTACATGATGCTTGATGTAGCCAACCATGGAGAGCTGCTTAGTACTTTTTTGGCTAGTCGTCAGCATGGTCTAAGCTTGGTCTCTCGGCTCTGGGGCAACGAATTTTTTGATAAACTACATTTTAGAGTGTTTTTAGTTTCGATATAACATTTTTCACAACCCATTTTTGTATTATCAAAACATGTCTCCCTTCAATACGGAAAATATTCGCAATCTCATTGAATCTTAACTCACTGAGTCGAAATATTAGCAGGGTTTTCCCTTAATTTAAACTTAAGTCTCCAAGACTCACGACAATCTATTTGAATTGAATAGTTAAGAAATGGACGTAGCAATAGAAAATAAAAATTAACACAGGATAACGTTTCATAGGAAAACAAAAATAACGTAGCTCAATTTTTCTGTGGTTTGTTAAACAAGAATGTCTTAGTTACGCATAATAGTCATTGGCGTTGTCTTACAGTTGCGTGTTGATGTATGAAATGTGCAGATACGCATAATATACTATTCCTGCAGTTATACAGTTTAACAAGGATCAAAAAATTCATAAAATGTTTTACTGAATAGTCTCCGGAATATGTCGTCGCTTTTCCTTGTGTACTAAATTAGAGATTTTGAAGCTCGTTAGCCCAGGATATACGGTTGAATCACACTGAGTGGATTCACGTAAGGTAATTAGTTCCGCATTGTAAGGGGAGATCTATATTACAAGATATGAAAAGGTTTTCTTTATACAGACAGTTCAAGTTGTACATTCTTCCTATAAATAAAAACTGCTGTCTGCAGGTTTATATATATTTGGATTATAACATTTTTATAGTAATCGATTAGTGAAAATAGTTGAAGCCCTGTGATAAGATCATGTACAGTGCTTTTTCAATAATTTTTTGAACCAGTCAAGTAAACAAGCTGAAATTTGGGGCGATAAAATATTTTGGCGTAAAAGTAACAGTCGAAAATTTCAAGATAGGGGCGACATTTTTCAATGTAATGGGGGACCCTAAGCAGATATTGTGTACCTCATTTTGGAGCTCCTTATCAGTACTTTTATAACACTATAATATAAAATCGGAATCCTTCTAAATGGCGGACTGGCAGAAATTTGAAATTTTTTACATAATCTAATTAAAAAAGGACACCTATTAAGAATCTACGTGTTGCTAGGCCCAAATTAGCGTAAAAAATTTCCACAATTGGATCCCAAAAGTTCTGGACAAAAAATATACTTTAGAACTTTTCTCTAATATTGATAGTTTTCGAGATATAAGCGATTCAATATTTGGAAAAACGTAAAATATAATATTTTCGACCCCGAAGAACATTATGGAATAATGGGAATTTTAGTGTTGTCAATGTTCATAAATAGTCTTCAAACTTTCATTAACAAAATCTTGGGCATACTAAAACTTTTAAATTTGAACGAGTGCCATTTGCCGTTAAGGAATGTGCCATATCCTTTGCATTCGTTTTAAAACCGAGGTCAAAAAACCGAAGAGCCCATATGAGGCCAATAGAGATAGCAACCATAAAATCGTTCACCAATATGAGAAATAGCGGTATCGTTATTTATATTTATCGTAATACTGTTGAATCATCTGTCACAAAACCAGTTGCTTATGATTTTACGAAAGATCACCCTATATAAACACAGATTATGGAGGTATAAAAGGTTATACACAAATGACATCATCGTCGATTTTATTTACCAATTTAGTATTCATAAAGAACCTGTTTTGCTACTGATGGTTTGAAAATTTCTCACTAGCGTTCACATCACGTTGTTGTATTGTATCCATTTGGAACCTAGTGATCTATAACACAAGCATGTGACAACGGTAATTCGTGATGAATTGCATGAACATGGAAGTGGTGAAAAAAAATGATGTGGATAATATAGTGGGTACCTAACACAACGCAATTTCCTTTTTAAATATTTGTAATACCAAAATGTATACAAGCATGTTATTTAAAAGCTTTAATCAGATGTTACGGTATGATATATTATTACGCATAATCACGACATTTTTTATAAAAAGTTAAAACACTGATATACAGTGATTAATAGAAGTATTAATGTTAACAGAATGGAGTCCTTGTCCTTTTATCTCGTTCCGTATATACGCAGAAATTAATTTTTCACGAAATAATATTTTTGTGAAATTTCAAAAATCAAACCTGTTCAAAATATCTATCTGAGTCAAGGATGTCATGCTTTTTGGCCTGCTCGATCCCCAGAGGTGACCCCTCTATGTTATTTCCTATGGAGCCATCTAGAGTCTTGCTCAATTCTTGAAAACGTCGGAGTAGAATATCAACAGTTTTTGTCATTTAGGTATCAAATAAGTTTTTTATATAATTAAATGTTCCATTCTTTCTCTAGCTATTTATCAAGATAGTGACCCGCGGAGCGACTTTTCTACCAAGGAGAGGTTAAAGAAACCTCGTTTCCAATAATTGGCTGCTAAGTCAGATTTGTGTACCTTGATTCAAATGTCAATTGCTAAAAACAAATTTGTTTCCCAACATTTGGTGGCCTTGAATTTTTCAAAATTGCAACAAGTGGTTTTGAGATGGTCCAAAAAACTACTCCTCAAATGTTTGCCCTATTTTCTGAAAACATTCGAAACAACAAGGATCATCATCTAGGCCTACTTTTCAACATATTTAAATGTGAGTCACACAGACCCAGCTGATTCTGTCAAGCAGTACCCTTTAATATATATATGTTATATGGCTATGAATTAAAAAAAAATTTATATGATGACTCACCCGCAAGTACACAGTTCGCAAATGCACTGTTCTTTCAAGGGAACCTTGATGACGGGCCCTCCGGGAGCAGGTTCCTTAATGACCTTCTCGATTGTAATCACTTTGTTGTCAGAAACACGTTTTATGTTTGTTATGTTCTCCACTTCGTCCTGACCAACAGCAAAAAAAAAAAAAACGTTAAAAACGCGATCTGGGAATCTTCAGGGTCAGTCCATACCAAGTGGCCCATTGCATTTTTTTACAGGAATTCTTTTCTACCATATACATAGTTCTAGTGTAACAATTTGACATAATAATAGTCTTATGGGATTATAACAGATTAGTTTTTAATATGCCTACATAGCAGGTACATGCATGGTGATGCAAAATATATGGTAATATTTCTAGAGCAGAGAGCACATCTGATAACAGTATTGGCATTGCTCTAACAAACAATATCACAGCTAAATCTTTGCCGTTTATAGACATATTCAATAAATGGGTGGAGATTTACTTTTGAACAGATTCAAGTCAGGATGAAAATCTTGAGCTGATTATAGGAGTTCCAAGAACCAGAACAGGAAATTACATAGTCAAGTGTTGAATTTATTTCAATAATGTTATTAGTAATATTAACCTTATATATTCCTTTCAGTTCAAGTCAGTTAATAGCTTAGTGTTGTTAACATTCCACTTAAAAGTTCCTATAAAAATAGGTTTCTTAAGGTCTCGTTACCAAACCAAGGGTGTTTTGAATATTATGAAACTTCCGGCACATATTGTGAAAGGACAGGAATATTGTTCAAATACAATTTCTCTAACATACCCCCCTTCCTGTACCCCCTATAATCTCACGATATTCAGGCCGTACGTTATCAAGTTATGTGTAAATCATGTTTGAGCATGTGGAAATCAACAATATGAAAAATACAAGTGGGATCTCCGGAGTATTTGAGTTGCATTTAAGTACATAAAACAAGCAGGTAAATGGTAGTGATTAAGAACCAAAATTGATGCAATAAAGTAAAAAAAAATGTTTTAAAGGTCTAATAAAATATGAAATCATATCAAAGTACACTTTCTTTGTTGAATTGTAAAGATGTTTCTGTTTCATTAAGTAATTCGTTCGAGTAAATAACCATTATGTATAAGCAAGCTCAAAATCGATTCTTACTTACAAACATTCAAAGTTGTTTTGCTTGGTACGAAAACTCTGCTACTACAATTTTATGAAAATAGAAGTATACGTGCCACGGTTATTGCACTTTAATGTTTTGATGGTTCAGCAATTTGAAACAAAACTAAATACATTTATTTCCTTAAAATCAATATGTATTTAACTCGTAAAAAGAGAAAGACTATGGAAAATTTGTAATTCAATACAAACTAATAAAAAATAAAGTGAAGAATTCAAGTGCTGAAATTGTAATATATGAAATAACATAGTTAATGACATATATGCACATACTTTTTGTGCAAGAAAATTATGGGCCACTTGGAATAGATTGAAAATGATATTCCTACTTACGATAGTTTTTATATCCACGATGTCCTCTTTGACGAAAGTTTTGTCAACTATATCAGTCACTTGGTTGATCAGAGTATCATAAGAATCCGCAGTGACAACAACCGTTTCATCCGTGTGCAGTCTTCTAGTTGGTGAAGGTTCGTTTGGGCCCCTTGGCCTCTTCTCTCTTGGCCTTGACTTGTCTTCAATGGTAGTGGTCTGTTGATCCACGATGGTCTCGAAGTCTTTCGATACAGTCGTTTTGGAATCGATCATTTGAGATATTTTCGTATCGGAGCTTGTGGAGATCGTCTCGTAGCTTTCCACAACAGATGTTGAATCTGTGACAGGCCCTTTAGGCTTCGGAGAACGATCCTTAGGCTTAACAGATGGTTTTCCAGCTGCAGGCATGGCATGAGGAGACATCTTTCTAGGCTTCTTAGTATCTTCGATTGGCCTTGGCTTGGTACTGTCGTAGCCATCAGTGATAGTATAGTGTTGCATGCTGCTTTGGTTGTCCACGAACACCTGGGAGTCCTTGATAACTGTTGTTTTGGAGTCAAACTTATTAGAAACTGATTCAAAACTTTCCACGGTGGTTTTTGAGTCCACTGTCGTAGGTATTCTTTTACTGGGAGACAGTGATCTATCTCTAGGCTTGTCTTTTCTTGAAGGTACCCCTGCAGCTGGCGTACTTTCTGGATATATCTTCCTATTTTTTCTCATATCATCCAATGGCAATGGTCCTTTGGGTTTGGTGCTGTCATAACTATCAGTGATTGTATAATGTTCCACTGAGCTTTGATTGTCTACAAAGCTTTGCGAGTCTTTGATCACAGTCGTTTTAGAATCGAATGTATTTGAGACACTTTCGAAAGTTTCCATAGTATTTTTGGAATCAATAGTAGGCTTCTTTTTTGATGGAGATAAAGACCTGTCTCTAGGTTTTGGTTTTGGGTCTGTTCTTGTAGGCATACCTGCAGCTGGCATACTTTCTGGAGATATCTTCCTACTGTTTCTCATATCATCCAATGGCAATGGTCCTTTGGGTTTGGTGCTGTCATAACTATCAGTGATTGTATAATGTTCCACTGAGCTTTGATTGTCCACAAAGCTTTGCGAGTCTTTGATCACAGTCGTTTTAGAATCGAATGTATTTGAGACACTTTCGAAAGTTTCCATAGTAGTTTTTGAATCAATAACAGGATTCTTCTTTGATGGAGATAAAGACCTGTCTCTAGGTTTTGGTTTTGCATCTGTTCTTGTGGGCATACCTGCAGCTGGAAGGGCATGTGGTGATATTTTTTTAGGTCTTCTCATGTCATCTAGGGGCAAAGGACCTTTAGCGCCATCAACGATGGTATACTGTTCCACGCTACTCTGATGATCCTCGAATTTTTGAGAATCCTTGATGACAGTTGTTTTGGAGTCAAATGTATTAGACACTGACTCGAAACTTTCCACAGATTTCTTTGAATCCACTGACGTAGACTTTCTTTTACTTGGTGATAGTGACCTATCTCTAGGCGTGGGCTTGCTGTCTTTCCTTGAGGGTATCCCTGCAGCTGGTAGGTCGTTAGGAGATACCTTTTTAGGCTTCTTCAGGTCATCTGAGGATTTGGGTTTAGAGCTGTCGTAACCGTTAGTCACGGTGTAATGCTCCACATTGCTTTGACTGTCCACAAACACTTGAGAATCCTTGATCACAGTTGTATTTGAGTCAAATACATTGGAAACTGTTTCAAAACTTTCCACTGTGGTTGTTGAGTCAATTGACGTTGGCACCTTTTTACTTGGAGATAAAGATCTGTCTCTAGGTTTCGGTTTAGCATCTTTTCTCGTTGACATTCCAGCAGCTGGAAGATCTTCAGGAGAAATCTTTTTGGATTTTCTTGAATCTAATGGTCCCTTTGGTTTGGCACTGTCATAGCTATCACTAGCTGAGTAATGTTCTTTGAAACTTTGATTGTCGGATGTCGTAACTTTACCATCAATGATCACAGTTGTCTTGGAGTCAAAAGTTTTGGAAACGTCTTCGTAGCTTTCGGTAACTGTTCTTGAGTCCACGATTGGACCATCTCTAATCCTTTTTGTTGGAGACAGCGACCGATCCCTTGGTTTTGGTTTTCCAACTTGGTCTGACGATCTTTCAATGTCGATGAAAGTCTTGTTAATATTTTCGTAGTTGTCAATACCTCCTGGCCTCCTTTTTGAAGGAGACAGGGAACGATCTCTCGGCTTTTTTTGTGTTGATGTTATTTCTTCTGGACGAAGTGGTACCTTCTTTCCGTCAACAATGACGAAATGTGTGCTGTCAAAGGATGTTTTGGAGTCTTTTAAGATAGAGGAGCTGCTATCTTTAACTATAAAAGTTTTGTCAAATTGTTCGTCAGTTTTGTATCTTTCGATGGAGTCGGCACTAGCGTGAAAAAACTGGTTCTTAGATGACCTGTCAGCGGGCTGATTTTTTGGAAATCTATCAGATGTGGATGGAACACCTGCAGCGGGGTAGTCTTCAGGATGTATTCTTGTAGTTTTTGTAGGAGACTGCTGTGGCTTCTTGGTGTCTTTTTTCGGTTCATCCTTTTTAGGCTGTGGAGTTTCATAGGTAAATTGCCCATTCCAACCTGTCTTGCCATAGTTCCGGTCATTAGAATAGACCAAATTGGTATGATCGACATTCTTGTCCATCAAAACGTTTTCTCTGTATCCAATGGTATTTTGTGTAGCTGAAGTGTCATAAACATTCTTCACCATGGTATTCGAGGAATCCATCGTATGTCCATAAAAGTTATGAGAATCACTACCGACATTAGCCTGCCTACGTTTGTTCATGTCCACATAGTCCTCGTCAACGTAATACGTAGTAGATGTTTGAGGTTTGCCACTTGGCGAAGCTTGCCTAGGAGAAGCTTTTCCTTTGCTATCGGGCGAAGCGCTTTTTCGAGCTGTTGAAGCAAAAGTTCGTTCGTTCGTTTCGGATTTGTTATCTTTTATCACTGTTCCCTTTTCATCCCTCGTCGTTTTTGAGGCTGATTCAGATCCTGGTATTTTTTCAGTATCTACATCAGTTACAGTCTTGATCACGTTACCTTTGGAATCATAGTAAGTTGTTGTAGTCGTGTGCGTTGAAGTGCCACCGAGGTTTTTCGACATTTTTTCGCTCGATGATGTTTTTTGAGATTCACTCGTTGATTTTTTGATGCTACTAGATTTTTGAGATTCAGACTTACTTGAGATATTTTGAGATTCGAGTTGTTTGTGTATGCTGTCAATACGTTCACTATCTATGAAATTTTTTGTCTTATCTTTCAACGTATTTTTGACCTTGTCATCCTTTGTGATGCTTGTAGATGAAGAAGTATTGTCACCCACGTGGTGAATTTCTCGAACTGCTTCTGAAGATTTTGTTTTTGGTTTTTGTAATTCGGGGACTTTCGAATCGTAAACAGTTGAGCTGTCTGTAGCTTTTTGTTTGAAATGTACTTCTGGTGTGATATTGGTACCAGCTCTGGTCGCTAGATATTCGTCATTGCTAGAACGATCCTCATTGGAAAAGTCATGGTGTTTCTTATCAACTATTCGCTCTTTTCCATCAACTATTTCTACAGAATAACTACTAGACGAACCCATTTTTTTGGAACTACTTTCTTGGTGGGAAGTTGACTTTGATGATTGTTCAAACGTAGAATTTTTGGATACAACAGGTTGCTCCATGACAAATTTTCCATTCCAAGCCGAATCATTTTTATTGTAAGTTAATTTTAATTCTTCACTGGGTTCGGTAACTGTGTAAGTTGATCCAGAGCAGTGTGACACATTTGAAGACTGATCCAAGCTTTGAGTGGATTGATTCAAAACAGAGCTGATCTGTTGAATATCAGCTGAATGTTTGGATGAAGCATCTTGAGCAATGAAATGTCTGTATTCTGTAGAAGTAGCACCAGTATCTGAGTATTTTGTTATCTTCTCACCACTGCCGCTGGGCAAAGCTTCAGTAACTGTGTAACTTACCACATGAGCTGGTACCGGCAAATGTGACACATCTGAAATTTTCAAACTGGAAGACGATGATTGTTTTGACAGATTGCCGGTGCTTGACGTGACTTCTTTCTTCGATGAAGCTGCCGTTTTCGACGAAGATTTCGTGGTGCTCTTGGAAGAACTCGCGGCCGTGGTAGTGGTCGTCGATGAAGTACTCTGCTTCTTTTTCGTGGTCGACGAAGAACTCGACCCGGTTTGTTTATTCACAGTCATCGTAAGGCACTCGTTCACTTAGGACTAGTAATAAAAGTAACACGACGGAGTAAACTAAAAAAGTAAAGAGTTGCGTTAGCTAGCGCGGTCGAAAGCTTTCTGAAAGTGAAATAATACAGAGGCTGCGGCGCGAAGTACCAGCCGCGCGCGGCCAGCGACGGTTTAATTTGTCGCCTAGATTTCTGATTATAAGCACAATAACGCTATTCTAATAAAGGGCGTTCCAAAATTTATGCATGACTTGAATTAACGAAGAAATACAGTTTTTTTCATAATGCTAGTTCTTTATTGAATCATAAAGTATACAGTATAGAAATATGTATGGAACAGTAGATTAAGCAAATCGCTTCTTCAGCTGTGTTGACTTCCGAGGCGTACTGGCGATGAATCTTTTACAAAATGTTGCTACTATTCCAAGGACGCAAAAGCTTTACAGTTTTTGAAAATCGGTCTAGTTTCGTCAGAAAAAAAGGTCAAAAACGAGAAAGAATAAAAGTCGCTCAAACGTTTCAGATAATCTTGATCATATTCGGAAATTTTGAAAAATCGGGGGTTAGTGGTTGCAGGGGGTGAGGGAGGATATCTAATTGTTTGACTTTGGTACATTTATACGCCCCCAACCCCAGTCCATATTAGGCATATTTCACTCATCTCCTTCAGTCGTGTGTCGATACGTGCGACGTGGTCATCGAGATGGACAAGCGTTGTCGTCGGTGGTCATACGTTACAGTCGGCAATCGCTTCCACACTACTGCTGGCTGCGTGAAGTGTGCATAGTGATGGTCAATATCGTCATTCAAGCGGGATTGGTCATCGCAACAATCATGTGCACCTGCAGCAATTCCTCTCAGGGGGAGGAGAAAGGTCATTTAATTTTTTTGTTATCCATTTTCGTGGTCAACTTTTTTCTCAAAATAATCTTATACGAACTGATGACAGCGTAACGTGAGAAGTACAGAGTCAACTTACTTGACGTCATTTTTTATAGAATTGATGACACAACTGGATAAAGGTGTCATGTTATATTTTTTTAAACATTAAGGAGTGATTTTTTCACTCTGTGATTACTGGGTCTCAAAAACAAGATATGTAATAGCAAACTAATTAAACTAAATATTTAAATGTCAATAAAGTCACAAGTTCAAATAAAAAATGTGTAAAGTCAATTGTCTCCATACAATGATTTTGTTACATGACACCTTTATCCACTTGTGTCTTCAATTATCCCAATATCACTTTCCCTAAAAATGTGAGCGAATTTCGTTGATCAATCGTTGAATTTCTTCGTTCAATCGACGAGTATCTCTGGTCTGCTTTCTGTCTAAACTTGAACAATATTAATATGGCAAACACATGTGGTTTGAAACTGTACCACATACCCTGAATCCCGTGAAGCAACTCAATTACTGCATGAGACATTTCTTGGCCGTGAACTGTCTGCAACACAATTGACCGCCTACCTAAATTGAAAAAAAAATTGATGCGGATAATATGTGGTTTCAACAAGACAGTGTTACATGCTGTACATTCCTCTAATCAGTTCAATTGCTGCAGAAGACAAGTCCTGGTCTTTTACTCTCTCGTTTCATTGAGAGAGAGAGTGAACTGGCCCCCTAGATTGAGTGATTTAATACCACTGGTTTTTTTGTAGGGGTTATTTGAAATTCATCACAGCCTCAACAAAGTTATTCAGCTAGATTTATGCAAAGTAATCATAGAATGCTCAGAAGCTGCTGCGATTTACGAAACCTCCATCCATCCAAACCAAATGTGCATTCAGCTGAGCGAAGCATTTTCCTGCACCAAATTTCGCTATTCCCAGCCTTCAAGTACAATAGAATGTTTTTACCAATATTCGTCTCCCCAGCCGAACCTCAAAGAGCACTTTAAATGCCTTCATGTCATCCTCGAAACATTTGATCGAATGTATCGTGCTGGTCATTAGTGCGTAATATAAGCAGTATACGAGTAGTAAAGGCTGATCCCAGTGAAACGTTCACAGTGACATTGAAAACGATGAAAAAACCCAGCAACTACGGCAAATATCCGTTAAAAATTAGGGCGAAAACACAGTGGAAGCTGCTTATCGGCAACCAGCGCCGATCGCTACCGAATTTCGGTGCTGGTCATGGACACAGTGCTGACGGGAAAAAAGCAAATAAAACTTGCTTCTTGTCAGTTCCAGCGTAGTCTTCGCGTCAACATGGGATCTAGCTCATCTGAAGATGAATTTATTACATTGGACAGGTCTGTAACTAAAATAATCACTAGAAAGAAAGTTGGTATTCACCCCATAAAGGAGAGCAGCAAACCACAGGTAATGCCTTGGTAATATCAACAGCAACGGTGGAGGTCTGAGAATCCAGTTGGAACTTAAAATTGACATATCTAGCGTGATTTTGTGTACAATGTTGAGGATCTTTAGGATTTGCTAACCTCACTGAGAACATTTGTTACCCCTCAGTCTTCAAAAAGATTTTGGGACAAGAACGCTTTCACAAAAAGTTAGCCCTCGCCGATGATTGTTCATCAACTTGGGAAAAATTCTTGCCAATAGAAGAAGCTTCTTGTGTATCTTTCATCACGTTGCTGACCGTAAATCTCCAGAAGATAAGCCGATTGACGAAGAAGTATTGTAATTGTGAAGAAAACTGAATTCGATGTTTCTTGGATGTTAAACGACATGTCGAAAAACCATGTCATTATAGCGGGGTTTGTCTGTCTAGCGTCTGTTGACTTCTTGCTAACCCTTGATCCCTTTACTACTCGGATTTCGATGAAGATTGGACAACAACTCCAGAGGTTTTCCAAGCTCCGCTTTTTGATGTTTTCAAGTTTCTGATCGTTGTCATTACTAACGCTTAGCCTATTCGTGTAGAGATCTTGATAGATGTTTCACCTGTCAAACTCATGAGCAATCTGCATTACGTACTAATTAATTGCATAGATTTTAGCTCACGTCTCAAATTTTTCTTCGATAAATGCTGTAATATAGCCACAATGGAGTATCTAATTTTCATATGGTAAAAATAAAAACTCGGGAGAATAATCTAGCTGAAGAACTAAAAAGTTGTTTTCCGATACGTCACGGACAAGCACCTACGTTCCGGAGGTTGAATCTTTTACATATATGGTTAGTCTGGGTTTGCCATGGATTCGTCACTTTCTATATATCCATAAACCTTCTGCAATCATACTGGTTTGGTATTCCACGAACAGATGCAAATACGTCGACAACAATAGTCACTTGGTCGTTAATTTACGAAACTAGTAAATATTGGGGGAGCAATGATCGAGGATGCGTCCCAAAATAGCTTTCTATTCTTCCAAAATGGGATTTTTTGTTACCTAAGTATGTGACTTCGTGAGCTTAAATAAAAATATAATTAGAATGTGGACAACAGTGCTGTTTGAAAATAAACGAAACAACAGTGTGGTATAGGGGAAGGGGTGAGGAACCAGATGCACTTTTTGCTTTCACACGAAGAAGCAAAAAACAAAAGATATCAAATCATATCCATGATATGAATATTTTTTTATTCCCTGTATTAGAGGGAACCTTGTATAATTATGAGAAAACAAATGCGAATGTGTGAGAAGTGCAAGTCAAGCTACTTGATTTTTTATTACAGTCATAAATAAAATACGAATATATCTAAAAGTAACATGTTTCTTGCAAATAATTTGTCTTGTTTGTTTTGTTCTTAGTAATTTAATCTTCTGAAACCGATTGTGTAGTTGTCTCCTTGTATTATTCTTGTTATTTCAAATAATTTTCCACTAAACTCGCTTAAGATTTCTTTTCGTCACCCAAATGACTCCATAATTGTGTCTACTACTGAAACGCATCATGTGGTCTTTTCTCTTATCCGTTGCATTAATAAATTGCATTAAGCGACACTTGTTAAAATGAAAAATTCTGACGTTTATACTGCCATGGGAGTACAAGAATATTACTCAGAAGTTAAAGGTTAATTTTAACGGGTTGATTCGTTAATATCTTCTCGAGGCCTGCTCACATCGAGGAGAAAAGAACTTTTCTCTCGGCAACGTACACGGATCCAAAAAATTATCCACGGTATCCATACTTGGAGTTGTTAATAAACTTACCAGAAATGAGGTGGTTTCTTATCCCAGTTCTTTCTTGTTTTTCCACTTCTTATGTATTCTCTGCCCCATGTTACTTGGCTTGCATTTTTTGGTTTCACGCAACAAAATGATCTGTTGCGCGCCCTCGTTCCTATGCGATGAATGTTTCTGAAGCAAATCAAATATTTGTAGATGATCATGTTTCGACATGTATTCATTAGGTAAGCGGATGTTCAGATATATTTTGCGATTGATAATTTTTGTTTGGCGAGATAATATTTGCGAAAAATGAGGTAGGATGAATCTTTTATGTAGTGGTGATGAAAAGTTCAGAATATTCATATGATGTTTAAAAGTTTCTTCGATCACAAAAATGCCCTCACTTGCGCATCCAGCATTTGGGTCAGGGGAGACCACAAGATTCATATTCAGAAAGATATTGTGTGACCCTATCCGCGAACTCATACGGAATAGCCTAAATGTGATTCAAATAATAAATTCTATTTGAAAGGAAAGTTTTTATTGTTAGATAACAAAATTTAATTATTCTTCCGTATCGACATGCACATCTTTATAGATACGTACAAGTGCCAGTCCAGTTAGGTGATCTGCCATGGAGGCTCGCAACCACGTCTTGAGCCTCCTGAGCGTAGAAAGGACCTCTCTGCCGTCGGTGCACTAATTGGGAATGTAGCATACATAAGAACCTTTTGATGTTGGGATACGTTTCGGCATCGCATTTTCAATAAGTGTAGAAATCGGTCGCGAAATATTGTGCACTCGCTGTCATTTTGCCATTCACAGCCGATATTCATTCACAATTATTGAGGTTGGCGAATTATTGTCCAAGAGCCGTTGGTACTCGATGGCGAGTTGCTTAACGGTTTCTAGATCTTCACTAGTACAAGTGATTTTCGGAATAAAAACACCTAACTTAAATAAACCAGATGTATCTGAGGATGGTCGCTCTTGAAGATCAGTGATTACATTGTCTAGAAAAGGATGTTCTCAGCCCTCCGAAAATACTCTTCCGGCAACTGAGCAGGTACCATCTCATTTCAATAGAATGAAACCACTTTTCTCTGATTTTGTCTGTCGAAAAGTATTTTTATCAAATTTTCTCACAGCGTTAAATGCACGTGTGAAAAAGTTTTTTCTTATACCCCTGACCGAATGCGCGGAATCACTATTTTATTTATATTTGCGTCAAGCTGAACCTATAGGCAACCAGACTCAACGCAACCCTCTTATTTCCACGGCTTCATCGATGCGCTTAGAAATTGATCATGTTGACAGGCATGGTGATTTTTCACCAAATGTGATTATTTTTCATCCGTTTGTATCCATAACATTTTTTCAAAATATGTATGTTATTGAATCTATCAATAAGATTCGAAAGTCATAAATATTAGTGGTCATACTATATTCCCCCTGAAAACGTTCTTGCTTACTTATGGTGGTGAAGTCAAATGATCTAAACTATTCGGTGAAAGCAGGAGCAGACTTGGAATTTTTCTCTAAAGAATGAAATAATTCGATGATGGCAAACTGCATGTTCAAATATATTCAGTGACAGTAGACAGAAAAAATAGTTTCTTCAACTTTTTTTTTGGAAACATAATGACTATATTAAAAAATGCTGAGGCAACAATGACACCGTTTTATCTTTGTTTTTGTTTACCTTTGTTAAAATGTTATCTCTTAGTTTTTGTGAAGAAAGCAGTTTCTGAGATCTGAGTAGTACAGATATTTTTAGTTATTGCCTTTCATTTACCAGTGTTGAGCATAAAAAAATGTCGCGAGTTCGAAGACGTCCAAATTATCATCATGTTACCGGCTTTGTCAGGGATAAAATTATTGCCTAGCAAGATGTTGGTTTGTCCTATCGCGAAATTGGCCGCTGTGTTAATTATACTGCAATGACGGTAATGCATGTGTGTCGTGTGTGGATAGAAGAAGGTAGAGAAACACGAATAAGGTCAACTGGTCCACCAAGGCGTATCACAAACAACTAGCCCTACGAGATCGTTATGTTACTACGCGTCAGATCGCTGACCAATGGTTTGGAGAAGGTAGATCCGTTACTATGCGAATACTCTATCGACGCATTCGAGCCTTTGGATTTTTTTCATACCGTCCACGGTTAGTGCTTCCTATGACTGCGGACCACTGTCGTCAACGTTTGAACTTGAGAAGAAAACGGCAACATTGGGAGGCAGAATGGCATAATGTCATCTTCAGCGACGCATCGCGATTCTGTCCTGGTACGCACGATGGTCTTAGAAGGGTAAGACGCCGCCGTGGAGAACATCGTGTTATTGGATTTGCTGTTGACAGTCATGTACACAGGACTGTTCTAGTGATGGTTTGGGGGGTTATTGCTTATGGTAGCCGATCAACCCTTCTCTTTGTTCAAGGCTACGACAAACCACTTTACTGCCGTATCTAGAGGGCCGTCCAGACGTCATTTTTCAGCAAGGCAACGAACGTCCCCATATAGATGGCGGTACTACGAACTTTCTTCAAGAAGCAGGCGTCAATGTTTCTCTGTGGCCACCCCACCCCGTTCACCGGATTTAAATCCTATCGAACATGCGAGGGTTATGATGGGGAGGAGACTATCCACTTTGCACCATCCGCCACAGACTCTGTCACAGATAATCCACGATGTTGCTTGGAATGAGGTGCCACAACCAGACATCGAATATCTTATTTTGTCGATGCCTAGTCGTATACAGGAGTGTAGTTCAGCTGCGGGATCGCCCAAGAAATTATTATTTTTTTTTCTTATTCTTTTCATTCTTGATGTAAGACTACCTCATTGCCAGAAAATCATGTTGAAGAAATTCTTCTAATGTCACTGAGTATAAGTATAGGTATCCCGGTTACCCATTTGAACCACCATGGGACGCGGTTACCAGCTGAGGAACGCGACTGCCCAAAAACAATATACCTAGATGATGAATTAAAATTAATATGGTTTCTAAGTAACATTAATTGTAGTTACCTTCAAATGGAATTCAGCCAGATTCTTCAAAATCCCAGCGTTTGCCCACTCTACCTAGAATCAAGCGTGTCAAATATATTTACAAATCGATAACGTGTTGATCTGCATGGAAGTTTATGCGATTTAAGTTCCGTGCTGCTATGTAATCGTGCATTTAATGTTTACATCAAATGTATCACGGAAAATGCGATGAAACAAAGCTTGGCAATTTGAATTCAGGAAAATGCGAGGAGAGGAAGTATGGACAACTTGTAACAAATTAAACACGGACCTCAATTATTTTATCAACGCGGCTAGAAATCACTGTTTGGTAAATAATGCGGATAAATCAAAATTGTTGTTATTTGGTTCTAAGGTACGTAATGACAGTGTAAGATCATAGATTGATAAACAAATCGGGGATATGCACATTCCTTTATTAGAACAAGCAAAGAGTTGAAAGGGTACTATAAAAGTTTTGCAATACAGCTTTATTTATTGAGTTCGTTCAAAGTAATTTGCACCACATCCATCCGCGGTGAGCTGGAGCGTTGACATGGTGGAGGTACCAAGTGTTCATTTTTGACTTTGGCCGCAAGTTTTTCAGAGACTCTATGACTTTAGGCAGGCATATAACACTTAGCTGTGACTGTCTTCTGTGTGATTTGAAAAATACAGCTATCATTTTTTTTCTGAACTGATCGGGATTTTCTGACAGCGACAGGTGTGTCCTCATCATCAAAGACCCAAACATTGTTTTGAGCCTTGGTCGGCACATCGTAATAATAGCGCCAAGTCTCGTCAGCTGTCACGATGCTGTTCACATACCCACATACCGAGATTGCCCCTTATCAAGCACTTTCAGCATCTTTCGGCACCAAGTCCTAAGACGAGTCTTCTGCTCTTCCGTCAGACTATGCGGTACCCAGAGGAAACAAGGTTTCCTTAGGTGTAAATGGTCTTGCAGAATTGGATGAATTGCTGGTGTATGAAGGTGTAAGGTCTCCTCTATCTGCTGGTATGCCACTGTCCGGTCTACGTCAAGCATTTTCCTCACAGCAGTAATGTTATCCTTTGTTACTGACGTTAGCGGCCTTCCTTCCCTCTCAGCGTCCGCCGGAGTAAATTTGCCCCTTTGGAATTCTTTGTACCACCTGAATATAGTCGTACGATGAGATTAATCATTATTTAATGGAAGCGTTATTTCTTCTAAGCATTGGCCTATGCTTAAACCACGCGTAAAGTTATACCGTAAAACTGTCCTTATCTCACTACGTGACCACGATGCCATAAACCGCATTTTACACTGTCAATACGAATGAATAACTAAATCAACAGGCGTGCTGCTGGCGGCTACTATGCTCTCATGGACATGTCTGAACATGCAGTAACATGTAGCCTCCTGCGTCCGTTTATTAAGTCATTTGATATTAGTGAACTGATAAACTATGTTTCAAGAAAACTAAAATAATTCTCTGTGACAGTCTAGTTCTTACAATTTCAGACTGTGCCAGGTACAAAGTACACATTTTTTGTTTAAGACTAATTTATGGTCTCCGCAGACCAAACAGAGTCACTCACAAATTACATTGCAAAACAACCGATATATCTCTTTAATAAAATAAGATTTGGCACCGACTTAAAATGTTAGATTGAAGGGCCTATTGCTTCCTCCAAGATTTCAACATGACTTTTTTAAGAGAAGTTTTACCTGTAGATTTATAGTGAGTACAACAGTTTCATAAACAAAATTAAAAAAATTATATTTTCGAATTCAAGAGCAATTTCAAGCAAGTATTAGCCATCAAGCAAAGCGTATAAATAATTTAAGTCGTACAAGCCAGTATTTTATTACATATACTTATAATATGATGGAATTATTATCAGGGTAGACTTTTGGTTACGATTACTTAGAATGTATTATGATTTAAAAATTTAATGGGTTAAGTGTTAGAGCTGATGTGCATCATTTTGGTGATGTGCAGATGAACTTCACCCTGTTCGGTGATTGTACCAGCAGGATGTTGTCGAAGAACCTTTTTCATCTCGTGCCACAAAGTTTCAATAGGTGACAGATCTGGACTGCTAGAAACCCATTTCAAAAGTGGTACATTATTTTCTTCCATCTATTTTATAGCCTTTTTGAGGTATGGCACGCTGCACCATCTTGCTGAAACACAAAATCTTGGCCGGATGTCAAACATTCTTCCATCACTGGTAAAAGCGATTCTTCTAAAATTGCCAAATATTTGTTTGTATCCACATTTCCATCAATAAATTGAAGTTTTCCTACTCCTTTTGATGACATACTGCCCCAGACCATAATGGATGCTGGAAGTTTCACTTTTCTCTTCAGACAGTCAACTTGGAATGCTTCATTTTTTTTTGCGAATAACTCTACTGCGACTGTCACCAACACAAACTTCGAATCGGGCCTCATCACTCCATTGTATTGCACACCATTGTTGAGGTGTCCATTGTCTATGTTCTTTAGCCCATTTAAGTCGATTTTTCTTTTGCAGTGGAGTTAATACAAGTTGTGCAACTTTAGGGTGTTTACTTCACTTTTTTTATAAGAAAATTTACCTTGCAAGTGCTCTAATCCCAGTTTGTGGGCCTCTCTATGAGTTGTGAACCTCGAAATTCTCCTTCCAACAGCGTCACTCCACAGAGCAGTTAATTGTAAATAATTGGCATGCCTGTTTTTCACGATTATTCTTTTTAATGCTCTTCGGTCGGCATTTGTGATATTACTTTTTTTCACATATCGTGATATTAACTGAACCAGTTACGTTATGTCTTCTAACAATATTTCTCACACTGTACCGCGATAAGGCTAACAAAGTTACAATTTCTGAGTTTGATCTCCCAGAATTAAAAAAATTAATTATCAGTAACCGAATTTTCTCACTAATAACCCTTCCTCTACCCATTTTGATAACCTTAACTACCCAAAACTATTTTAAACGTATTCTGACAGCTGTGATTAATAAAAACAATTGTCATGGCTTTTATTTTTCACAGACACATATGCGTAATAGACTTATTTTGCTTTGAAATGAAAATAGGTTGATAATTGCAACATGTGTTATTTTTATGCTGCAAATTTGATTAGGGAGTGATAAAGTTGGTGTTTTATAGAGGAAAGTAGCCTATTATCGGATACTTTTTTGTTTTAGGCAACAATAAATAAGTCGTTAATATCTACCTAGAACGCCAAAATGTTGGGAATTATTTACATATGTCTTCTTGTATAATTTGAAAGCAGATCCCTCTAATTCATAATTTTTTTTTCGAAAATCGCAAATAATCATTGGAGTGCAAAATGTTACTATATTAAAATTGGGTTCCCAATATCGGATAGTAGGTATTCCTAATATCACACATGCCAGATATTATCGACTGAAAGGTTTGAAAGAAGGCCAAAGAAATTTATTTTTATGTTTTATTAATTTAATACCAAGGAGTAAAATAACTTAACAAAATGAGAAAAATTGGTAATTAATCTCAACAAATTTCATAAAATGATGAATACAAACAATTTTCACAAATAAAAGCTGAATTTTTGTCAGTTCCGAGCATTCTTCATGAGGCAACGGAAACATTGATTGCATCCTATCCATTCTTTCCCTGTTGTGTCATTATGAATAATAAAAATTGTTACAGTATAGTCACTCACCGTCTTCATCATCTGTATCCACATCATCATCACTGTCAATTAATTGCACTTCTGTTTCAGTATCTTCACTAGAAGAGCTTAAAGATCGCTTAGCTATTTTCTGTTTTCCCTTTCCTTTGATATTGTCCTTTGGTTTCTTCTTAACTCCAGTTTTTTTTTATTTTTATGTTTACTGGTTCTTAATATCGGATATTTGCGATTTTAAGGAACCCAAACTGTCCGATATTACGGCACACAACCTCACTAGATTCATTATTTTGTTTTACAGAGAAAAATGCATTTGTCCTATGAATTTAGTATCAAGTAAACGTCTGAAATCTATTTGATCCGTTCGTATATAATAAACAAAATAACAAATTCACCTTTTGGAAATATAACGCCACTAATTACGAAGTGTTAAAATATTCACATGTCGCAAATATGTACATCAGCAGAACGGCGTACTCAACTAAGTTGTAAGGGTCTGCAATTTTAGCAAAAATGTTGTGCATCATTGTGCTTTTGATTAGTACAAAAGCTCACAGATGACGCTGCCAGAAAAGAAATATAGCAATATCAGATATTAGGAACCTATGCGGTATTAGGGTACTTTCCTCTACTATATATTATCAAAATATTCATTGTTAATATTTTAAACCTATAACACCCTGCTACATTTTTATTATTTGTGTTTGATAAGAAAAAACTAAGATTTCAATAGTTGGGCCAACTGAAGTGGGAAGAGGCTCGTATAGTTTTTTTTATTCTTGCTTGATCATGCAAGAATGGAATCATTTATGTTTGTTTAAGCAGTCCAAAGGGAAAGTGTAAATACTCAAACACCGCAACTGATATAAGCTGTAAGTGCATTAGAAGTTTGACGATACCAGCTTTGAACTGATTTTTCAACTTAGAAAATATGATTGTCTGATAGATCGTTCCAGATTTTTGATACCCTATTGACCGAACGAGCGGTTATTGCTATAGAGATAGAGCATGAGAGTCTTGAACAATGCAACAAAAGCCTGTGTGTTGGTTTAGCAGTGGTGTGGTAAAGGAAGGCATTTCAGAGAAACAATTTCTACTCGTTACATTACCGAGGTGCGCTGGGTACAAAACAGTTTTTTTGCTTATAAGACATTCAAGAAAACTTTAAAATATGAAATACTTCACGATCTTTTGTGAGTAGTATCTAAATCTTTATCCGAACCAAACAGCAATCGAATGTCAGTATTAAGAAGCTACCATCAGAAGCTCATAAATAGGTCAAAATACATCGATCATGTTAATAAAGAAGCATAGATTATTGACAAAACTTACGAGTAATGAGGTCAGACAAAGAAGGATGTATGTCTTAAACGTTGGATGATCTTAAAATACTTTAAGCTGACCATTTTTGGGGTTCTTAAGAGAAATGAATAATTACAGCGAATTTTGTTTTGAATAGATTTTTACTGTTTATAATAGTATTGGGTGAGATTGAATTGCTATTAGACGTAGCCACTTGGCGGGTTGGTATACCAGAAACAGAAACCACCATCATGGCGAAAGCTTGAGAACTCAAAGCCTGTTACTTATATCTAAAGACGAATGCAAGCATAGTGATCGCTCGTCAGTGAGAAGGTTTAAGACTGCATGTTGAGAAGCATCGTCGATTAGTTGGATTGCTCTTCTCTGACCGCATCAAGAATGAACAGTGTAAACTATACTAAGTGACATATAAATCCGAACACCCAGTTCAAATGGTTTTATTTTAATAAAAGTTGGTGAATGTATTTATCTTACTGTAAATAACAAGTGAAAAAATGTTCAGCCTTATCAGTTGGACATTCCGGTTTTTATACTGCTTTTTTTTTAATTCACAAACGCTCTAAAAATGAATATTTCAGCCGCAGTAAAGAATCAACGTTGGCGGATTTTGGTTCTTCACATCCTTTACGATCGGTTACGATACGGTACCTAGAGTACAGAGACCTGTACGATTTCGTTTGTTGTTGTTTGATAGGGGCCGTATAGCGGGACTTCGGGAAGCTGGACTTTCTTTTCGGGCAATTGCAGTTAGAGTGCAAAGAAGTGTAGACACTGTGGTTAGGTGTTGTCAGGCATGGCTTCGAGAAGGCCGTACGCAAAGAGCAAGGGGCACTGGACGCCGCCGTAGAACAACAGACCGTGAAGATCGCCGCCTAAGATTATTGGCCTTAAGGGACCGTTTCTCCACTACCAGGTCCATTGCAAATCAGTGCAGAACACGGAAGACCTATTGGCATGCGAAGTGTTTACCGACGAATGAGAAGTTTTGGCTTATTTTCATACCGGCCACACTGGGTCCTCCCTTTAACTCGAGAACACCGACGTAATCGCCTTGAGTGGTGCAGACAACGGTCACTCTGGGATCAGGAATGGAACAGTATTGTCTTTAGTGACGAGTCTCGATTTTGTTTAGGCATGCACGATGGTCGTGCCAGGGTTAGAAGGCGACGTGGTGAATGGAGGAATCCACCGTTTTTTGTTGAAAGACATGTTCATCACACTGTTGGAGTTATGGTTTGGGGAGTTATAGCTTATGGTTCCAGGTCACCTTTAATCTTCATCAGAGGTAACATGAACGCGCAGCGTTATATCCACGAAGTTCTAGAACCCCATCTTTTATCCTATCTTGACACCCTGGCAGATCCAACTTTCCAACAAGATAATGCCCGATCACATGTTGCAAGAGTCACAATAGACTTCTTTCAACATAATGATGTCACATTGTTACTATGGCCACCAAGATCTCCCGACTTATCCCCAATTGAGCACGTGTGGGATATGATGGGTAGGAGATTGCTCAATTTGCAACGTCCTACTCAGACTCTAGAGAGGAGTTGGTGGTTGCCTGGAATGAGATACCACAGGAGGACATTGACCACCTGATCAGAAGCATGCCTAGGCGCGTTGGCGAATGCGTAGCACATCAGGGTGCCTCCACACATTATTAAAGGTCAAAGGGCTTTAAAGCAGTGCAATCATTTTGAAATTTTTATCATTTACTTATTATGCTTCATTAAGTACTTATACAAAATTTTATTAAAATAAAACCATTTAAACTGGGTGTTCGGATTTATATGTCACTTAGTATAACTAATTCTTCAAACGTGAGAGCAAACTGAACCAACTGTTATTTGGTGTTGAGCTACTGGAAGTGCAATTGGGTTAAGGCTCTGGAAAAACTGGCGTCAAGTAGATTAACTCTATACTTCGTATGTCTTCGTTGGAGGTTTCAAAGAACAGACATGACTCAAATCGTTTCAAAAGGCAAAATTGAATAATTATTAGGTAGGTTCACTTAGGTGCGATGAATCTTCGACCTCTGCATGTCAAACTATTTAAACCAAATATATCGTATTTCAGTTTCCATGGCAGATGTAGTGAAAATATGTGTGATTTATTATATCTAACAAATGCATACTATCAGTGAGATTTGCAGTTTATTAATAATAAAAGGTCTTTCATTGACACCAAATATGCAACAATTTACAACCATTTATTGCAAGCAATGTCTGGAAAACGAGTGGTTTTGTTGCTTAAAGATATTTGCATAACACACATCCGTGCTTCCGATTTATCTCGGTTTGTCAGTCCGTGTCTGAGTCATAAGTATTGAGTCAAACTACTTGACGAAATATTAAGAGAACTATCATAGGCTTAGTAACATAAATTTATGGTTTTGGCGAAATGGGTGGTACATTTAAAGGTCCTAAAATTCAGAAAGATATATGTGTAGATATAAAAACAGTTAAGTCCTCATTTACAAAAGCAGGTCGCTAAAGGGGTACGCACTCCTAATATCCAAATACATACTGCTAAAATATATTATAAAATACCGCTATAAAATTAGCGGCCAGACCGACTGTCAGACAGGCAGACCAACAGAAATTAGTACATGTCAAAAACTTATCTCAATTTCGAAATTTTTCGCATTTACAATACATACTTCCTTGCCAGTTTTGGCTAGGGATAAAAAGAACATTTTGTATTCAAACTGTAGTACTCGTAGAAGTAAATCAGCTACCGACTATCCACGGTTTACTATTAGACTAATGATACGTTCCAGTCTAGTACAATCAAGACCTCGATAATGTGAAGCAAATTGCAGATCAATATTTTAGACATTAGCTATATTGATATCCCACCAGGTGTAAGGAATACATGACAGAACTTTTCCGTTTTATATCAACGTTATGTAAATGAATTATTATTTCAAATCTGAAATAAAAAGATCCATCTTACAGCTTTATACAGAAAATTTATACAAAAAACAGTGCAATTTTTTATACGGATTTTTAGTAATTCTCTATTAAATGGACTTATATGCTGTTTTAAGGCCCTGATTTGTTACAAACCGAAGTCATAAATAAGTAGAAAAAAAATAGAAAAAGTTTGCAAAGTATAGAAAGAAATAGCACAACATTTTTAACAACCTTATATATGTTGGTCTTTCACAGGGCAGCCCTATTCAGAAATTTGTTCTTGCGAGTTCCTTCGGGATATAGCGATACCGCAGTTCTCTGAACCTGCTAGATGAACTCGTCAGGCTATTCTAGCCTACTCCAACTCTTTTGTCCTGTAGGGAGTGTTCAAGAACACTCCGTTGTGATCACTCTTTTGTTGTCAAGGTGTAGAGTGTTTGGAATATTTTACAAGAAATGGTATTATTCGTAATTTCCGAGTACATCACTTGAAAAATCGTATAAGCAAAAACTCCTACAACTTGGCATCGACCCGCAAGTTTCAAGAGTTTTTTCTCTTACCTCTCGATGAAACTATATTTTTTTTGAACGAATGAGCAGCTTTTGATGCAAAAGTTTGGATGCAGTGCAATTATAGAAAATAGATACTAAACTGTAATTAATATGGATGCATAATATCTGAACAAACAGTGAATTGAGAAATAAAAAATAGTCCTGCCACAATCACCCCGTATTTTGCGTTAATGCTGTCATAAAGCTAAATGACGAGATATGGCACACATGCACGATACGAATCAACCACCCCATAACCACAATAGTGCTTCCTCATAAAACCACATAATGAATGATAGACTGATAACATAAGCATATAAAATTTCACTCACCTGTATTCGATTGTTTGGATGTACCTATGAACCGGCGTTCACCGTTCAGGGTAAATAAACCCTACTAACCCCTATCTCTACTGCCCTAGATTCATGGAAGTGTCTATGGAACAGCGCACACGTGCCTGCACACCGTTGCCAGGACAAAAGTACACATTAAAAAATCGGATCCCGGATCGGAATTGATGATACTAGATTCATTTACGAGGGTTTTCGTGTATGTAATAATAATAAAGTTTATTCTACTAAGTACAATTTGCTGGTTAGGCAAACAAAGATGTAAATGTAAATAAACGTAAGAAAGAA